AAAGCTTGTTGGGATTAACTGATCTCAGAGTTTTTCGAAAATAGGAAGCACATTCCACCATGCCAAATGAAGGAAGAACAGTTTGTTTTTTGATGAATACATGTTTAACATAACCCCAAAAGTTTTTACTGATGAATTTATCGTGATTGATGTTGTCGTCATCACCGGTAGACTTGTGGGCATCGCGTTTACTCAACCTGTCACGTAGTGTACGAGAGACATATTTAATTTCACCAAGGTCACCACCAGAAGATTTCAAATTACGAAGAGTTTTCTTCAAGGCTTTAACTGAATGATCCTTGTATTTTTCAATTAAGTTCTTATCGGCATTTGGTCCATCAACATAACCATAATTCTCGGCAAAGTAATTATAAACTACATCGTTAAGTTGCTGTATGTTCAAATTTATATCCTTAGCGCTGATTGGCAGATTTGAATATAACACGGATTTGAAATATGCATTAGCCGTTAGCCAGTCGTCATCATTTTTTGGAAGTTTTATCCCTTTTTTAATATCAGGATTACTATTTTCAACAGTTAAATCATCAATAAAACTAACATGATCTGTACCATTTGTCGAATCAATAAAATCATCATTGAGTTGTTCTTCGATGTCAGCACGTAAATCGTCGTTGAGACCATGGATAACGCGACAGCTCCGCTGATGCGATTTAAGGCCACGAATCCCCTTGCAATTTTTTCCACAACAACACTTGATGATACCATTATTAGAGAAGTTATTYGAGGAATCAATTATGATTGGTTGAGGCAGTTTAGCTTCACCATTTGGAACTTGTAGACGCTGTTTACATCGCCATACATGTCTGCCCAGCATTAGCAGAAATTCTTGACATCTTAGCTTCGGCGGTATCAGTTTTCAATCGATCGATCTTTAAAAATGGCTACTCATCAATACAAAGAAATGTATGTGGTTTCAAATTCAATGAAGAATATTTATATTTAAACAAACTCTGACTCATACTGCCGACCTCTAGACATGATCTACATTATGTGCATCACATTTTGTGAATGTTTTTGTACCGTGTTATTGATATTACAGGGCGCAAAATTGAACAGAAATATCATTAAATTATGGCAGTAAGTGCCCTTGGATTTGAGTCAAAATGACCTTACCTTCAATATTTCCAAAGCTTATAAGTGCTGAAGATCACATAGAAAGTTCGGTGCCGACCTCTCAAATACTACCTCGAACAACAGCGATTCTAAATCCATTAAAAAAACATCAGTTTGCTCGTGTAAGAGGGCGCCAGAAGAAAGAGAAAATTGCCTATTTCTCTGAGACCTTTAGAAGCCATCGGAGACGAATGATGGCATGAAATATACCAAATAACCGCGTTGTTTTCTTCGTTAGAATCAAATGAAGAGGCCATTTTAAAAACTTAGCAGCCAAGTACTTTAAGAAGCAATACCACTGACCAATCTAATCGAAGACTCCAGTTCAAGCTTCATTTTTAGCGCGAAAATACAAATTTTGTAACACTGTATATATCTTTCGATAATTTGGTATCTTTCGACAAAATGTCTGACTGTTGGCTAAAACATGAACAGGAAAGCATTGATTCTAAGTTGAAWGTCTCAGATTGTTCACTTTCTTACATAAATCAGCGTGATGCAGATCATAACATTGTTCTCGCATTGGACATCCCTTATCCTGTACTCATAAAGTGGCATAGTCTYGTTGGACAAAAAGATGATGAGGGAAAAGCAACCGATTATATCGACCTATTAAACTTCTGGATTCCCGGAAATTTCTTTWAAGTGGATAAAATCAGTGGCTCAAGAATCCAAGGAAGGCTGAGACGAGAAGCTGGTGTTGTTGTCAACAAATACTCTGGCAGGAAAGCTAGTGGGAGCAAGAGACAAGAGGCGAAATTGAAAGTATTAACTCTCCACATAAGAGAGGATGAGATAGTCAAACCCAAA